TCTTTGCCATGCTTCGTGATTGCAATATTTTTCTTTTTCCTCGATGTGTTATTTTTTGGTGAATTTCTTGTGCTTTGGTCGTTCGTCTCTTTTATTCCATATTTACGCGATATTCGGGACTGAAACAACCTTTTTCCTATTCATTATTGAAATTATGTTCAACTGTAAAATTTTTAAGTTATTTCGTTATTTTCATCTCTCTTTCTTTTTACACGCTGGCTTTTCTTTGTTCAATTTCTCTTTCACTTCCCCGCTTTCATACATTTCAATTGTAAACGGAGAAGAGTGATTTTCCATTGACTGCATTTTCTCTTCTAGTCGGTTGAATTGTATTAATCTGCGAATAATTCATTTTCCCATTTTGCTTTCAGGCAAAAGAAAACGTTGTAATTCAAGTTACTGCCTTTACGGTCTCGACGTTTCTTGCGATTTAACAAACTGGAAATAACCGAGAAATTGGTTATTTTCTTCCTCGCTCGTCCTCCGATCCCTCTCACTCACTCTCTTTCTCTTTCACTCACTCGCCCTCTCGGGGACGCAATGAGTATTCTTTCATTCTGGTTAATCAAATGTAGTCTTTGTCATGAAATGTGAACAGCCGTGATGCGACTTTCTGATTAATCAAATTGGTGCTGTGTGCACCAAGAGTTAAAATTGAAAAAAAAAGCGTTCGAATGTTTTAGTTTTCTTTTGCCATAAAACATGTTTTTTGTGTTTTTATAGTTCGCGGAAACAAGCGAAATTAAAATTTCTTCACAAAACAGCAGCTTTTGTTTGAACAAAATTACTTGTGTAACTATGAACCCCACCGAAGAATAAAGAACGACTGAGTCAAGTTTACTGTCATACGAATAAATTTGGTATTCTCAGTTCGGTTGTTGGCTGCATACCCGTTTTTGACGTGCAATACACCTCGAGGTAGACCAGCGAATGAAAAAATAGCGTAATTTAATTTGAAAATAAATAGAAAATTACACCGAATATATTTGTTCGCCTTTAATTGAATGGCAAAAGCGGAAAAATTTAATTATCTCAAATGAAAATAGAAATGGATTCAAGATAACAAACTGTGAACGAATTACCGGTCAAAAATTCAAAGTGAGAAAAACACATTTTCATTAGTTTTCGAGAAGCTATCACTTGAGACAGTATAATGGATTACATTTCGAAATGAGAATGCATCTCACTCAGTATGTCAGTGTGGACGTCGTTCGTGCCCCACATAGATATATGCAAACTTTTGCGCACTTCATTGCACACGTATTTTAATTCAATGAAATCTAAACACAATTTACTCATCTCGGTATGGATCTATGTTCCGGTAAACGAATTGAACAGAGCAATTCCATCGGAATAGTATTCATTGAATGTAATTTCTAATTTTCTCATTTGATTTTCGTTTTTCGAAATTATATCCCAATGCATTTTGTTCAACAGAGTTGAATCAACACATCGTCGTATGAACTGGATTGGGAAAAAGAGACCAAACATACTGGTGCTGAGGTGATACGGCAAAAATGGCATTCGATATGCTACATGCTAGTTCAAAAAGTCAAGGAGAAAAGTTTATAATTTAATCCGATTATATGGCGATGTTGAATAGTACAGTGTCTTCTGTATTTGTATAAACGAAACAATAACTTCAAGTACAAAAAGTGGCTCGTATCCCATTTAATAACAACCGTATTTTTTCGGGCTCAAGGTGAATATTCGACTGGAATGAATTCGATGAATCGACACCGTTCGATGCTTGAACGGTACACAACACCATTTGCGATGCTCAAGCTGAAAATAAAATGGAGCAAACTTTTTTTGCCTTCCTTTACGCAAATGAAAAGAAAATTGATTATATTATATTTGTACGGTTGAATATTGTCGCTGACACATCGACCATTTATTTTCCATATTGAATAGAACAGAAGAATGGAACAAGAGCACACACACACACAAACCAAACAAAAAGTTATATTCATTTAAGGCTTTAATGCAATAGAACAAGAAAAGAGACTATGCGGTGGATACCATAAAATAGCTGAGAACAATGACAATCGATGCTTGTTGTGTGGTTTTTTTTAGCTTTTCTCATTTTCGCTTTTATATTTTCAAAGTTTTACCAAACAACTTTTTCGGGTGGTGAAAATGAGCTGCAAAATTGCAAAGCCACAATGGCAAAAATGGTTGCGACCAAATCATAAAGCGTTCATTATTTTATAATATTTTATTAGTTGGCCAAAGTGTTGTAGAGAATAATGACAGGGACGGAGATTTTAAAGTCAGTCGGAATTCATTTTGTAGAAGCATATTATTTTTGGGGTCCATCATTTCACAAACAACTTATATTTTACCATTTAGATGGTGAAAATGATATCTTCAGAGGAAAATTGTATTTTCAGAGGGAAAATATTGCCGGAAATGTTATCCTGAGGTAAAGATCACCTTTGATGATGCTATTCCGAGAATTTTTAATAAAATTACGAATGTTTTTCATACAGCAAAATATTTATGCCCTGCGGAAGTCACTTCTATTTCATTTGTGTATATTTTTAAATCGTTTTTTACTCTTCTGCGAAAAAGGTTTTGTTCGAGAATTCAATCTATGTTTTCGTTGCCAATATTCAATAGTAAATATAGAAATTCTCCGTAAAAGTAGTAAAGAAAATTGAATTTTCTGCTAATTTCCTGATTTTTTTTTGCCAAATTCCTACTATTTTGAAGTCCAAAGCACATGGTTTTAATTGAATTGAATTCTTCGAAATGAAATATAGTGTAAGCATTTGGAAATATAAGTTTATTATTAATAGTAGTTTCTCAAAATACCGGAAATATCATTAAAACAAAAAGCTGGATAAAAAATGTAAAGTTCAAAACAAACCAGTTTCAAAGGAATTTTGAAAATAAATACCACATGATATTAGATATTATAGTATTGCTATTTCTAGAATGACAAGGAATAGATATATATATCCAGAAGCAATTCTTTAGATTCTTAAAAGGCCACATTTATAAACATATTTTATAAAACTAAATGTTTTTCGTGATTCATATTGTTTTCCGCAGTGAAGTAAACCGGTTTGGCATTTCTCATACAAACCGATTTCGGAGCGGTATCTCGGAATTGGTTTCGTTTTGTGTGAACGAAACGGAGCAAGCGGAACGTTCCGAGAATGGATTGTATGGCGACGTATGTGTACGTGAATAGCAACGCACACGTATACACACACAACCATTGTACGGTCGTGTGTATACTGCACAGTGTAAACCATTGTCGGAACGTTCCGATTGCTCCGGTTCGTTCGGTAAGTAAAACCAATGAAATGGTTTGGTTTTGGTTCACTTCACTGGTTTTCCGCGTATCCATTTTTTTCTATAAGAAAAAAGCAAGTCAATTTGACTTGTTAGAGACGTTCGTGATCTGTAAAAATAACAGATCCAACAGGTGATTCAACTCTACAAATCTTTTCGTCATTTAATACAATAAAGGATATATTATTAACTTACAACAAAAGCCTGCTTTTTTATTTGCACGAAGAGTGAATTTTAATTTCCTAAAATATTTGTTTATCATTTAATTGCAAAAAGTGGGTATTACTTATTTTAAACTTTGGCAACTTTTCGCAGTGAATTCTCATAAGAAATGTTACAGCAACTTTACATAGATTGTTATAAGTACAATAAAATCCAAAAAAGATAAAATAAAAGACAACTCAAGCGGTGCACAGCGAATAGCAGAATGTAAACAATATTATTTTCGTTAAGCAATTGAAATTAATCCTTTTGTAGAATCACAGAGATAAAAGAAAATGAAAGAAGAAATCGAAGGAAATCCGGAAATAGATAGAAAAAAGGTCCCATCTCTCGGAGAAAGCGCCTCTCTTTGTAGCATAATTTCAATCGAATTGAACAGGGATAATTACAAAAGCAACATTAATTCCTGTTCCCAGAAATGTACAACAGTACTTTATGTTAAGAGAATAAACAATGAGATTTCTGACAATTCTGAAATGATTTATTCCGATTCCATTTTTTTTCTTCTCTTTTGGTAACGTACACTCTTCGTTCATGTGAAATAAATATTTTATGTAAACGTTGATTGAATGTTCAAACGTGTAAACGAAAACGCGTTCGAAATTTCGATTATTTGGTCGGAGGATTTTTTAAGTATTTCAATCAGTCGCTGTTCGAATTACAGTAGAAAGAGCGAATCATATACACGCGCTCAAAGGAAGAAATTGATCGAAATGAGATTGGAAATAAATGAGAAAGAAGTAAAATAAGTAAACATTTTCAAAACGACGACTTAATTACATTTTTTTTGTGTATGTGCTGTTATCAATTTTCATTGGAGTGCATGTGAAACATGGTGAGAAAATGTGAGCAAAATCGATCGTGTGATATATTGCGAACAGCGGTATTTGAACATGGGCTAAAATCGCGAGTGTAAAAAAACCAATTGAACATTGAATTAAATCCAAAACACAATTCGTTTATAAATACAACCAAAATGAACAATAGCGTGCAATTTAGCTTTTTCTCGCTTTGTATCTCATTTCTTGTGTGCGGCACAATTTAGTTTTTTCAATTCGTATCGAGGCCCTCTCATTTTGCAATCGGCTATAGACACACACATATAAATGGGTTGCAGCATTTAAACGATATTAAAGATAGCTCGCTTGAATTGTGATACAAGAATGCTGAGACTATGGTGTTGTGTGTAGTATTGTGTTCTGCTAAAGAAATGGTCGGTGGTTTTTTTTCACTATATCTCTGTTCGTGCCAATCTTTTTATTGAAGAAACGTGTCGTTCAATTCGAAATGAGTCTTTGAATGTTCAAGCATCTAGCACAAAACATAGAATTCACCATTACGTCAGCAAGATTTATATTTATTTATTTTCATTTTGGATAGGGGACGATTTTTTTTTCACATCTCCTTCTTCTTTTTCTCTCTCCTACTCGATGTCTCAGAATAGATAAATGAATTTCTATCTAGTTTTTACTTACCACATTTTGTTAGCCATGCAATTAGAGCCAGAATAAATACGTTCCGAATTCGATTCATGTTGTCGTTTCATGAACAGCGACAAATCTACAAGAAACAGAGGAGGAAAAAGGGAGAAAAAAATTACAATTAAAATAAATATAAACAAACAAGTATATCCTTGAAGAAAATAGAATACAAAGAAACAAACACTTGAAAGTACAGCGAGTTGTTGAATAAGTGCGCGTCGCGTAAAATGAAGCGCATCGCAAATACATAATATAAAAACCCATTTCTTTTGAATTGCAAACAAAATCATGAACTTTTCTCATAATTTATATAAACCAGTTGAATACTATGTGGAGATGACACAAACAAAAACACACTCATAAACTTAAGAGATTTTAATTGGCATCGTACAAATGACATTCGTTCGTAGCATTCTATAATTTAATGTTCGCATATAGAACAAACACAACCGCTACATTGATATTTGAAAATCCCCATATACATATTCTGCATGTCAGAAAACTTGACGTAAAAAGGAAAACTAAAAACGCTCGATGGCAAACACAGCCACGGCTGAATAGACGGTTTGAATTGAATGAGAAGGAAAAGTGTTGTAATTAAAAATGTCAACGAAAAGTAAACTTCCTTCACTGCATTTTCCACTTCAAATGTTAAATGTGTGCTTTTTCGTTGCTTTCCTTTTTTGCCAAACAAACTGCTGCGAACAAATATGTTTGTCACCGAAACGAAGATTTAGAAGCTGTCGTCGACACATTTACGAATTTTTTTTTAACAAAAAATGGTATTTCATGTGTTATACGCTCATTGTTTGCCCAAAGCAATTTATTTCTAATTTATTTTTTCTGCTTCGTTCTTCATTTTACCTCCGCAAGACGAAATCATGGTGTCTTGGTGCTTGGTGGAAAACAACTTGAAGTTGTCATCATCAAAAGCATCGGATTCTTACGACGTTGACAATTGAAAAACGCTTAAATGCTTTGAAAATTAGATGATTTTTTTTTGTGTGTTGTCACATAAACGAAATGTCATCAAGAGGAGAATTTTTGGAAATTACCAAGGACTCTTGATTTGGAGTTGAAAAGCAATGTCATTCGAAAAACCGATTTTCATCTGGTATCGAACGAGACGAAACATGTCGATATTTTGGAAATGACAAGCTCTGTGGCAGTGGTAATGTAATCCGACTCTGTGCTGTATTCTTGAATGTGATATTTGACGTACATGTTCAAAATCCAACACAGATGATAATTAATTTTCTACGTCAGTGTACCTTGAATGAATTTTCCAAAGTAGAGATTTGTTACCAGAAATATGAGCATTACATGAAGCTGATCGGGGGGAGACAGCGAGGGCTCACACATTCTCAGCAAAGGAGATTAACTGTATTAAATGGAATGGAAGAATGTGTTCAAGCGTAAATCCATGGGAAAAATGAGGCGATTGAAATAGAAAAATAATATTTCGAGTTTTGTAAAAGCCACTGAATTCTTACACAGCATACCGATTACGTAGAAATTGAAGTGATGGCGTCATTGGCTGCTAAAGACAAATAAAACACTCAAAACCGCTCAAAACACCATAAGATAAGATATTTTCCATGCGTTTGCTTTATAAGAGTTTTAAGCTTCATGTTCACACAAAAAAAGAACGGTGCTTTCTCTGTGTCTTAGCATCGAATAAAGAAACTGTAAATTCTCATGAACAACGAAGTCATGCCTTAAAAAAACGCAATTACAATTTTCCTAATTGGAAAATATGTGTATTTCATTGGCTAATGATTTCGCTTGACTGCATTTACCCTCTTCGCAGTGGCCTTATCGGCAACATTTTCATTTTCTACGCCACTGCACACAATAGCAAACACAAACACACACAAATATATTCTCCACTGTTGGCCGTACACATTTCGTTGCAATTGTAACATGGTATGCTCAAGTATATTTATGAATTCAAGTGTCTGTTTCATGTTGCGCTTTGTTTTATCAATTTGGATATTTTCCGTGTGCAAAGTTCAGCGGCAATAAATTTGTTTGATTGTCAACGGTAGTTGGTGCGTTTTTCATTTGGGTCGGATATGGCAACGATGCGACTACAGATATAGAATTCATTACGAACACTTTTTGTTGCAAATTTATTTTCCCTTCGCATTTAATTTAATATTTTTCCGCATCAGTATTTTCGAACGTGGGACGACCGACGCCGTGCTGTTTATATTCATCGATGGAATAAATAATTCGTAAAAGTTTTCAAATTTTCTGGCTTAATGCAAGACGCGTGTTGTGTACTTGTTTCATAATGGTTTTAACCTCGATCGAGTCCACACCATTCGAAAGAGTGCAAAAGTTTTTTTTTTTAATGCAATGTCGAAGTTTTTCGCTGTTTATTTTCTCTTATCTGAATAATGCAAAGGGGGAATAAAGACGCGCGTCAATGGCAATAATTTTATTGTAACAACACACGGCATAAAATATATTTCCTATTCCTGACTCAGCTCCGGCTTTATGCCGAACCATAATTTCAATTAAATTATGGTTTATTGGCAATGTTTAATGCCTTTCCGTCGTTGCGAACGTTGCTAAATTAAATTCAATCAAAATAAACTTCTTCAAATAAAAAAAAATTGAAAGAAGAGTGTATCTATCGCATGTTGGATATTCATTATTCAACCATTCAAGCGAATTACTTTGACTTAAAACTGACATTCAAACATTCGTTATAAAGTAATTTACACAGCTTATTCTCATCATCTTAAAAGCATTGAATGGAATATTGACTTTGGTCATATGCAAACAGTCACGATGAGAGAAAAATTTTCATGTAATTCTCTAATAATGATGAATCAATATTACTTCCTCAACTCGTAATGTTGGATTTTCATTCGTACGAAATGATTGCGCCCGGGAAGATGAACTTTTTTAAAGTTGGCTGATATGATGCCATTATCAATGTGATTGAATTTCACGGCTTCAATGACTGACATGTTATTCTGATTGATTTGATCCCGAACGTAAATAGGGCGAATGGAACGTAGTCGAAGCGTTATTGAATATGTCAATCAAAAATTTGCTGTGAACCGCATCAGGTGAATATTTTCCCAGTCGCAAAGTAACCTTATGCGTAATCACAATTGAGCAGCTTTATCGAAAATCGCCTTTATTCAGCTTATTGCTCCCCCGACAAAACTATCAAGAAGCCACTTGATGCGATTCATTGAAGAGTGAAGAATTGCAATTCATAAGTCAGTGAAAAACAAACAACCATTGACTGACTGACTGACTGCGAACGAATGGATATAAATTTAGTTGATTGTTAATCCGCATTAAATCGGTTGGTAGCTCTCAGATTCACGTTCTTCACGTTTTCATTCTTTTCCTCTGTTGGCGTATGCCTTTTTCATTACATGCGGGTCAATGATGCTGTGAAAACATGTTTCCACTTATCGGCCGAAACGTGAATGTTCACATGCCGGTTACGAAGCTAAAAAATAATCGATAAAACGAAAAAAATGCCAATAAATGCGGGGATTGGTCGATTTGCTAAACTTCCTTTTGCGCTGGATTAATATCAAAGGTACCATAGAAAACAAATTACGAAAGGAAAATCCCTTATTATGATAAACATGATGCAAGTGTCTCTTGAGATGGATTTCGCGGACGAGAAATGAAACAATTGGAATGGGGAAAAACTAATTTATTTTGAAGGCGGCTGCAATTGAGGATCTTCCAATTTGTGGTTTGATCCGAAAATATGGTGAAAAAAATTCCATCATAATACTCGTACCATTGATTTGCTTTCAAAGCAAGATGATCGATTTATTTTTACAGCAAATAGTTCAATAAATAAACTCTTCTGAAGACTTTTCTAACCAATCGAATTTTTTGTCTCGAATAATCGAGAATTCTTATCCATGTTTGGGCTCCTTTTAATTCAACCCGCCATAATTTGACTAGAGAGACTGAATTCTGTATTGAACCACACCGTCTTGATGGACCCTTCGTTGCGGGTATCAAAAAAAATCTCATTTTATTTATCAATTTTCCATTCTAATATGATTAACAAGAATGTCACCCGCAACGAGGTTCCATTTCGTTAAATATCACAGGCGGAGTATAATAGAGAATCATCTCCATGTCGCCAAATGTGTTTATAATTACCAGTCTCTATGGCCAGTGGTGCGAATCTTTTGGATTGGATTAGGTTGAATTAAAAAAAAGAGAGACGCCAGAGCTCCAAGAAGATTTCTTAATGATACAACCGAGAGATGATACAACTTAGAAAATGACTTTTGGCATTAATTCCGGGGCAAAGTTGATTTTCACGCCGCACCGTTTTAACAAAGACCGTCCTACCATTAATATAATTAAAATGTTGAAAAAGTTTTGTCGCAACATTTTCAATAAGTCTTTGATGTTAATTAGGTCGCATCAACTATGCGCTGATTTAAAGCCGCAACGACAATGTGACAATGTGGTGTTTGCATCAAAAGCACAACGAACACGATTGACGTTCAAACGGGTTATCAGCTTGCAATAAAGAGCTCATTTTTGTGTGCAGAAAATGAACGCAAATGATGTACGGCCGTGTTTGGTTTATTTTTGTCTCTGCCAAACCGTCCATTCGAAGACAATATAAATTATCGCCGGGTAAAATGTGCGAAACATTCTCGGAGACACTTTTTTCCTATCTGCAACTTGATGCGTACTTATGAAAGTTTTTACATTCACGAATCTCGTTAAACAGTTTCTTTTGTTGATGTTGTAGTCATGTCATCGTTCTCATCGTCTTCGTTGACTTTTCACATCGCAATCTTTTGATGTTGATACATCGTCCCAGGCTAATGATGATGAATATCGTGTTGGAAAAATGTCACATTTAATTTTTCCACTTACTTTGCGTCGGGTCTTTTTTCTTGGTGTTTTGTGTCGTCATTATGGACATCTTTACGGTTGCTGTGTATTGATAGCCACCCAGTGAAGATATTCGGGCCGCTTTAAAACGATACAATATATTTAATTTCCGGTTTTCGTTTGGTTATCACATTTTCCGGTTACTTTTCAAAAGAAAATCAGTGCGTTTGA